TGTGTTCTAAGTATATGAACATCCCGCATCCTGTTTGAGATTTCCTCATCGTCAAAGGTGTATTTCTCGTTGTTTAGTCGGAGTGGTTGTACAACTGATGTGTTGTTCTCTTTGATGATATTATTGATCTTTTGCCACATATTTCCCCCTGACAGAGTGATCTCCTCGCTGATTTTTTCGCTCCATGAACTTAGCGACTGCTTCTTGTGCACGTTTCCAGTTTTTTGGGTCTCTCCGTTTCCTGTACCGGTTTCTGGCCACTTTACATTTCCTAAGAAGTGCTTTGACAGTGTGTAACGCCTCTATACGGGTACAGGGGGCTAAAATGATAAAAGATGAGAAGAACACAATTAATTGGTTGTGAAAATGGCGTCAGCATGTGGAATGGCCACTTTTATTACTCTCATAATTGTCGCCATGACCAAAACATTCATAATCATACAGAGTAATAAATATACAAACAGTCATGAACCTCAAAGTAACAAGAACTTGTTCATGCTTTAGTCTTAAATTGACCAATAAATCAAACTAATGACATAAACCACAAATCTTTTCATATGCTAGTCTTCCTCCTAAGTTCTATTCACGACACAAGGTCTTAATGCTTCTATATATGCATTCGTAATAAAAGTCTTATTCCTCAACTAATCCGATAATAAACCGATTTAAATTTCAGTGTGAACGCAGCTCACATTCTAATAATACATATCAAATCACTGTGGTTATCACATATCACAATCACATATCAAATCACATATCAAATCAAATTACTATCTATTCACCATGTATCATATACAGTAACTCGCGTTATATCCATGTTATCATACATGCATGGCTATAATTATAGAGAGTGGGATGCATGTGATTCAACCATTACAACCTATAAAATAATGAACATTTACTGAAGTTTAAAAACCTACCTTATTATATACCTGTTACTTTTAAACTACCTTCAATATCTCCATCACTAATCATAAACCAATTACTATGTGAACACATAAGTAAGTAGTAACACTACAGTAACACAACTACAGTACGCAAGTACAACTACATACTACTGCATACTACACACTACGCAACTACATACGCAGTACAACTACATCCTACCTACACTACACAACAGTAATACTATCTACACTACAACTCCGTTCTGAATGTATTTCTCTCTCAAATTATCTCTTACTTGTGAAATAACATATCAATCATAATCTCAAAAGTGTCACTCATAAACATTCTTATAGCAAATCATTCATTATATAAAAGAAGCTTACCTAAAATGATAAAAGATGAGAAGAACACAATTAATTGGTTGTGAAAATGGCGTCAGCATGTGGAATGGCCACAATCACACCCTACTTACACCTAATTACCCTAATCACAACTCATTGTTCTCTCATCTCGAGTCTCTGGACTCTTCCATTTTCCCGGTGGGTTAGGTTATTTTCCAATTGCATTAAATACAACAAAAATGGGGGGGGGCATAATCAAACAGACAAAACAAACAAGTCTGTCTGATCAGGATTACAAGTGTCTGTCATAAATGGCTTAGAGTGTGAGCATACTTTTTTCCTCTTTATAGTAGAGTTTGCGCAGTAATTATGATTGAGTCTGTAAACGACCTACATGCGTCCTCCGCCGGAGTGTCAGCTGTGATAGCTGTAAGCCAATTCTCCATTTTGGTGTCGATGCTGGCTTTCCAATCCTGCCAATCGGTCTTTTCCAAATCCCATCTGGTCTTTGTTGGTTCCCTGGGCTTCTCGTATTGCAGTATTATTGGCGAGTGGTCCGAGTTCACTACTATCTGGTCGTCGACGTGCCACTTGCCAGGACAACGTTCTCCTCGACTAAGAGTGACGTCCGGGCCACTGCTGTGACCGCCGAAGATCCTCGTTGGTGTGCCGTCATTCAGAATACTGAAGCCGTGTGTCACAGCAATAATTTCCAGCTGTTTCCCAAGTGTCCAAGCTATCCCAAATTTGTTTCCATTGTCCCATTGGTCCCATCATGCATTGAAGCCCCCAGTCAAGATGATGGGTGTGCTCTGTGGCATACTGTCTATGACGCTTTCCAGTAGCACTAGGTCTTCTCTGTTACCTGGTTGTATGTATACTGATGCCACGAGTATTCACTGATTGGAAATACAGGTTTCAATCCATATTGCCTCAAGATCGTCCACTTCGATGTCAAATCTGTGCACCGCCTTGATGTTTTTGCTAACAAGTATGGCCACCCTTCCTCTGTTGTTTCTTTTCCGGTTTTTCCAGAAATGGGTGAAGTTCTTTACTTTCGGTGTGTCATCTGTGTTCCATGTTTCTGACAAACATAGAATATCCAGTTTGCTAGTAGCAGCGTAGTTTTCTATGTACCGCTTCGATGTTGATATTGCTCTGGTGTTTAGCTGGAGTAGTCTCATGTTGTTCAGAAAAATAGTAACGATGAAAATCACGGTTGTTGTCCTTATACCTGCTACTTGCTTCATAGTTGTGATAGGAAGCAATTTCACATCATACACTCTGCGAATAGATCTGACTTGAAGATTCTGTTTTATTGTCAGAAAGTTCTTACATTTCGCCGAGTCTGCAAAATGTTCTTCGTTGCAGTTTACGCAATGTATAGGTGCGTCACAGGGTCCACTTTCCCTATCGTGTTGACTTCCGCATCTAATGCAGGCCGCGTTGAGTCTGCAGCTCCTAACTATATGTCCATACGTCTGATACCTGTAACACCTGATTACTTTATTAGCCCTTTTTGGTTAACACGGCAAGTTGTTACCACACAGTTCAACACCCGCGCCTAGAGTCTGTGTTGCCGTGGAGCTTCTGCGGAAACATACACTTAATTACTACGGGCAGTGGTTTGGTGGTATGTCGGTTCCGGAATTGTTTTATTAACTCTGTTTCCTTGTATCTACACTCAAGTGCTTCTACTATCTCTCTGTCCGTGAGCTTGGTCTCAACGTTCCTTGCCACAACCGTGTTGAGCAGTGTTCTACTTGCTGGTTTATGTGGCTGTACATGTCTGGCGAGTCAAATGCTCCCTCTGGCCACCTATCTAGAGCAGTCCTTTCGTCCTCTTCCGTGTGCAGATGTAGACAAATACCTCCTGCAGGAAGCAGGTATGCGTGATATACTCCTAATGTTGGTTTATGTTTGTTTACCTCAGCCAAAATGCTCTTTGAGTGTTGGTACTTATGTATGTTGTCAATTACAACAATATATTTGCTATCTTTATCAAATCCCGGATCGGATTGGTCACCGATGTTGATGATTGGGATATCCGCTAATGATGGTATACCTGTGTTACCTGATAGACTGACCAAGTTGACAGGTGTAGCAGTCTGTACGTTGTTATGTTTATTGTCTGTACTGTTATCACTAGGGTGTGCCGACACTGACTTGGCCGCTGTGAGTCGGCTTGAAAGTTCAACTCTAAGTGTTGTCGATGTTTGTATGTCACTAAGTTGACAAAACAAGCACTTATATGGTAAGTGCTTTTCCAAGTTTGTGTATTTATTCAGTTCCCTGACAGTAATACCTGCACGTAAAGTGTGGTGCCACCATTGATTGCACTGGTCACATATTGCACTTGTGTGCAGTCATCAATTGTTACTGTGCAGGGGCAATTTCCCTTGTCCGTGTCTGTAACTGCTATTGGGGTTGGTGCTCCACGCTTAGTGAATTTACTTGCCTGTTGCACTATGTTGGATTTAGCAGTCACTTTACTCTCTGGTGTTATGTCAGGTTTGTTTTTGGCTGGTTTTGGGCTGAAGAATTTGGGGTTTGGTTTACGATTTCGTCTAGTAGTGAAATCCGGAGATGCCATTCGCTAACAGTATACAGTTAGTAGTTGGGTGATATTTGCTCCCTGTTGATTGTATAGATGCGCGTATCCACAGTGGCACGAAACGAGGCTGCAGCCTACACTGACTACCGAGTCCCATTTGAGCCGTAGTATCTTGGTGTTGGCTCCGAAATGTCAATATATTCAAATTATGCAGATTACCTGACCTGATTACCAAGGTAAGTTATGTTGGACTTATGAAATAACCAGTTAACTTTGCAAATAACTTGGTTTGTAAGACGTGAAAAATTTAAGCCGCCATCTTGCTCGAAACCGGACTTCCGTCGATCGAAGTTTATTATATGTGTTGTTTGTGCACAGCAGCGTGCGTGCGGTGTAGTGGTGTGTTGCAGAGGAGCATTTGAGTGGCATTTACAGGAAGTTATCGGCGATAATAGGTGAAAGAGAGTAGAGAAACATTAAGACTGGTAGTAAATACATTTCTTGTTTATTTACCATTATTTTCTTTTATTGAGACGGTGCAATTAAGTGCTTGTGAGTGAAAAGCTCATTGAAAAGCTTTCTGCCATTCTGGCTGTCAGTGTTACCTTGGAGTAATTATTTCAGAATGATTACTCCAATGTGTTACTAACGCTGTAAGGGTCTATGTCCCCCGGGGTACTGCCGGAACGTACCCTGGTACTATCTAATATGCCGGACCGTACCTCGCCTACTTCACTAGCGAGTCTAGGGAGTCGCATACGCCTATTCCCTAACCCTAACCCGAACCCGAACCCTAACCCTAACCCTAACCCTAATCCTAACCATATCAAAAAGTGACCATGGTAGGTTCCGGTATACCGGACCGTACCCAGGGTACGTTCCGGCAGTACCCTGGGGGACATAGACCCTATGAACGTTACTAACACAGACTCGGCCACACAATCACACCGTCACACACACCAATCGCATCGTTGAACTCATAGATATCTACTAGATATCTATAGCCTATATAGTATAGGTGTATACAGTAGGTATCTATGGTGACTTTGCATAGCCATGTAGTTATTCAACTTATTCAGTTATTGTGATACTAGTAATACAATTGAGTTTATGATTATGTAGTCATAAGTAGCTGTCTCGGTACGACCATGATAGTACTTTAGTAGTATATTGAAAAGCGTATTCATTTTAATATTGGAAAAAATGTCATTTTGCAGAGCCATCAACACACTGTGAGAGTTTAGAGCAACCAAAGGAAAAGCCAGCAAAGTTAAAAGGTGGTATTGGTGATAAAAAGTTGAAGAGGAAAAAGGCTACAACAAGCACTGTCAGTGTGGGAAATGTGGGCAGTGGTGTGCTGACGCTAGCTCAGAAGAAAGAGCTGCACCATGAAAAAATAGATAAGAGTCGGACTAAGCGGTCGAAGCTTACTGCAAAAAACGAATCCAAGACGCAAGTGGGAACGGCAGGTGTATTAGAAGCTGAGCCATGGGAACTGAAGGACAAGCCAAAAAAGAAGAAAAAGAGAAAGAAGAAGGTATATTTTAAAATAGTCAACATATACTTGTATTAAATTAACAGAATTGAACAGATGTCAAAGTCTTCATAAGGTTGTCTACAATTACAGTTGCAGCTAGACGTGCTCGTACACATTAGCTAGGCTAGCTTATGGATACAAACCAAAGGAGTGAGAAAGAAAGAACCAGAGCAAGATTAACTGAAGGAAAGAAAGAGGAAGAGAGAAAGACACGAGTGTCTGGAGGGAAGGTGAGAAACAGCAGGGGGATGTGAAGAGAAGAGCTAGTCATGTAATGTCCTTCTTAATTCATTTTCTAGAAGATATCTGACGATCTTGCGGATAAGCCTCCCTCAGCACCATCTGCTGCAGATTTGCTACAGTTCATTAAAAGCCAGTCGGAAGGCACGCTGTCTACCATTGAAGCAGAGGAGGTGGAGCTACAAGGTTTGTTTATAAATTATGCCACTGCAGTTTCTACCAGAAGTTGATTCTCATATACTATCTAAATACCATCTGAAAAACAAACTGTCATTATTTGTATTATTAAATCAATAATCCCTTTGTGCATGACTAATAACTAGACAAACTGCAGCCGGATAAACGCGCGAAGCGCGAACAGCGCCACACTGGCGCCATCTATGGACAACTCGCTGCCCTATATTAGAATACTTTTCACGAGGCCTTTCAGGTATAGGATAAAGCCGTAGAATCGGTCAATTCAGCAGTTCTGGCCATTGCAGAAGTCTTT